ACATGAATGTAATAAAAGAACTCATAGAATTGTTATGAAGTTTAGACAAGATTGTAATGCATGTCACTCAGCACAATACCAGACACTTAATAAGCTCTCAACAAATACTGGCTATTAAAATTATTGTTTTAAAATGTGGGTGATACAGGTACAGAATTAGATGTTTAAGTTTTAGTCTAGGCCCTAGAACCTTTCCCAATAAAAGTTGCTTTTAGTAATATCCGAGAATAATAAAACTCTCTTTTCTTAGAGTGAACGTGTTGTATTATGTTTTAGCCAGTCTTACAAAACTCCTGTTTCCTAGAGCACTAAAATAGTCAACCCATTCATCAATTCAGTGCTTACTCTTTCGTTTCTACTGTGTTTAAGGCCTGAGGGATTCGATGATCTTCAGAAGTCCATTTCATTTTCTCTGCATGGAATTTATTCGTTTCTTTGAAAAAGTGAAAACCCAAATTCATATGAAATGTGAAGAAACCAATAAAGACAGGGAATTAGAAAACAAAGGGGAACCTTAAAGTGTGTCTAGTTCAACTTTTTTATTTTATATAGGTGCGAAAACTGAGGCCCGGAAGAGTTAAGTAATTTTCCTAAGGTCACACAGAGAGTAAGCGAGGGTCGGGTCGTGGGATGGGAGCCCAGGCAAGCTGACGCTGAGCCAGCCAGCAGCCTGTTGACTAAATCACACTGTGCTCCGGGGCCCACTTCTTCTTTTCACCCAACATGATTTCAAAAATTAAAAGCAAACAAACCGAGAAACACAGGTTTAAAAAACACGGATAAAAACAAGCCAATGCTATTCAAAATCTGCGAAGACAGCAAGGTATGTAAGACACCTGTTTGCTGGTTGGGAAAGCCTCGCGGAGGTGAAGTCCAGTGAGACAGCATTCCAGATCTCTTTCGTTTTTGTCTGCTCTCCACAACCTGTATTTATTACAGCAATGGTACTCTACACTCACGACAAACAGCAAACAGCCATCCTACAGGCCGGTGCTTGGCAATGCCCGTCCACATGCCAAAGATGCCGGGGGTGCCGGTTTCAGGCGGCGAGTGAACCGACTGCAGCACACACATTCCCCTCCCTGTCATTTCCAGCTTCATTGTCCACAGTCGTCTCCACCCTCTTGCCAGAGTTTTCCAGAGCAACACCCCAGCGTGGCTTCCCACCTGGCACAGCACCATCCTGGCCTTGAATCACAGGTTCAGTGATTTGCACACTCCTGTCAGACGACAATGACCACGGACCCCGGGATAAGGATAAACAAACATTCCCAGGACTTTTTATAGTCAGGTGAAATTTCTACCCTCATCTGTTTCTTTTCTTCTGTGTCCTTGTTCTTGAGTGATAACGCATTCTTGATTGCTAATATGTACCACATATGAATAGGCTAAAAGCAAGAATTAGACAAATCTAATGCACAATAAGGTATCTAATTGTAAAAGAATGAAGGGTAACACATCCCCAGGCCCATATAATATGGGTAGAAGTTTGAGCACAGTGACCATCCATATGTTCCCTTAGTCAAAGTTTATCGAGTGTGTCCTGTGAACAGGCCTGGTGCCAGCCATTCAGGACATGAGTATCATTCGGTCCGCTGCGAAAGAGTGGCTCAGAGTTAATTTAAAGCCAGACTATCTGATCTTGAATCATGTTTCCACCACTAAATAATCTGGAGACTTTGAATAAATGAATTAATTTCTCTAAACTTCATTTTCCCCATCCTTATGGGAGGATAGAGTTAGTCCCTACTCCACAGATTTGATGTGAGGATATTGAAGCATTGTGCATAGTGCCTAGCACATAGCAAGTGCTCAATAATTATCAACTACAGTTAAATTTCTACTATACTCAGAGTTATAGTATAGTAGAAGGGATTTAAGGTAGGTTTTAAGGAAGGAAGGATTTAAGGAAGTATAGTAGAGGGATTTAAGGAAGGTTAGGAATAAGAAAATAGCTCAACACTGAACATTTGGAAATGAGATCAACAGATAGTGTCCTTTATTTTTTCAACAAGTTTTTGGCGAGCACTCGCTATGTGCTAGGAATGCCTAGGTGTTGGGGATAAGGAGACAAACCAATTCTTGTCTTTTCCCTTGCAGAGAGATGATATATTAATATATTTGAGATATGTACTGTAAATCCTGGATTAAAGATTACAAAATTTTAGAAACCAAAACCAAAATCTGATGGTTCCTCACTAGATGGACTAGGACCGGGTTCAGAGAAAGAGAGGTCCCCCCGAGCCTCTGCCAGCTGACTCACAGAGGGGCCCCGAGTCGGGCTGCCGCTCAGGCTTCTGTCAGGTTGCCCCCTCGAAGGCCAAGTGGCCTCCTGTGCTTCTAGATGGGACATGGGACAAACCTAAGCCATGAGGGCAAAGGTTTGGGTGACCTATAAGCACCAATACTCTTCCTATCTAAAGGGCAGTCATGGTCCCAAATCAGAAAGTTCAGTGACCCTGACAGGATTAAAAGAATTTCTGACATAATAGTAATAATAACAGTATTTTTCTTGTGTTTGCATTACAACTTTTTTTTTTTTTGAGACAGAGTTTTGCTCTGTCACCAAGGCTGGAGTGCAGTGGCATGATCATAGCCCACTGCAGCCTGGAACTCCCAGGATCAAGCAATCCTTCTGCCTCAGCGTCCCTGGAAGCTGGGGCTAAAGGTGCATGCCACCACGCCTAGCTAATTTTTTTTAATATATATATATATATATATATATACAGACAGGAATCTCACTATTGCCCAGGCTGGTCTTGAACTCCTTGCCTCAAGTGATTCTCTCACCTGCCTTGGCCTCCCAAAGTCCTAGGGTACAGGGCATGCCTTGCATAGTATTTTTAAGTCTTCAAAATGTGTCTGTTTGCATCTCTCCTTTGAGGTTTTTGGTAGTCCTCTGGGGCATCCTAAGCAGCTCTCATATGTGTCATTTATGGATGATGAACTGAGACCCAGGCAGTTTAAGGGACTTCTCTTAAAGAACTCATCTAGTTAATGGTAGACCTGGGACTAGAGCCCAGATCTCTTAAGTACAAATCTCATGTGTTTAAGCGCTGGGCAGCATCTTGGGCTTCCTGGACACCGAGGCCAACCCTAGGAGAGCACTGCACACAGCGTTTAGGGTCCAACAGGGGACTCCCCGAGCATGGTTTCTGTACCCATGAGTTTTTGCTACTCACCTTGTATCAGGGTAGCTTTCTTCCCTTGAGACCTACCCCTGGAATGAGAGCTCTTCTCCCTTGCCCTGCCACTTGAATGCAGCCCTCCAAATGTTGCAATGCAATATGCAGCATCTGTCATGAAACTAAACAACCGTTTAAAGACTGCACTGGGAAATAATGGAATTACAAGTGCTATATCCAGCTTGGATACATTACAAGAACACTCTCTGATGCTCTTCAATTGGTGAACCATCAATCTAAATCTGCAATGTCAACCTCTTTCTTCCATTGTTTTCTGTCTCACTGTCCTGCCGGTCAAGAGGCTCTTCCTCCATCCCTGACCCTTGGAGTCACAGTCCTTGGTTGCTACCTCATCCTTACTTCCACACACCAGTATGAAATCAAGCTTTGTTTCACAGCTTTAAGTATTTTTCTGTCTGGAGCCCAAAGCCCACCTTTGGCTACAGGTTGAAAATTTCTTTTCATTTCTCCTCCTCCTTCTGGAACTTCATGATCACTTTAATTTTTAGACAGTGGTTATGATTATGGGTCTGGCACTCATTTTGCCTAAGTTTGACTCTGGACTGGGTACTTATTAGCTGAGGGCATTGGTTAAATTATGTAATCTCTCTATACCTCTGTTTTCTCACCTAAAAGCTGTAATAATAGTCTCCACTTCATAGGGTTGTTATGAGAGTTTAAAGAGCTAATGTTTATAAGGAGCTTAGAACACTGCCTCTCCAAGTACTCAAGTGTGTGGTGTGTGTGTACATGTGCACAAACATGTGCGTGTAGTATGTGAAACTAGAGATGTCTTTGTTCTAGATCTTACCACCCAGGCACCCAGGACCAAGTTCAGTTCTAAAGTAGCTCTCTAATCTAGATGAGAACAGCCTCCATTCCCATCCTCTCTGCGTTGTGTTCCTCTAAAACTCTTTTTTTTTTTTTTTGAGACAGAGTCTCACTTTGTTGCCCAGGCTAGAATGAGTGCTGTGGCGTCAGCCTAGCTCACAGCAACCTCAAATTCCTGGGCTCAAGCAATCCTTCTGCCTCAGCCTCCCGAGCAGCTGGGACTACAGGCATGTGCCACCATGCCCGGCTAATTTTTTCTATATATATTAGTTGGCCAATTAATTTCTTTCTATTTATAGTAGAGGCAGGGTCTCGCTCTTGTTCAGGCTGGTTTTGAACTCCTGACCCCGAGCAATCCACCCACCTTGGCTTCCCAGAGTGCTAGGATTACAGGCGTGAGCCACTGCACCCGGCCTCTAAAACTCTTAATCTCCTTTGCAACCATGCCCATAAGACTTGTTGAACAGGACAAGAAGCCTTCCATAAATAATCTCTGGTTCTCCTAGCCTAATCATAATATGTATTAGACTGAGAAGAAACCCACATTCACCTAACATAGCCTATGTTGGGATAAGTTAGACGTATTCTTAATTTGATAATGTTGACAACATCCTGCACTATCTTGGTTAAGTAGAGAAGGCTTAGGAGTCAGTGTGTTTGGGCATAAGTTTAACATTTTCCTTTTGCTTAATATTTGCATCCATAAAACTGGGGTGATAATGGGAAGTAGATTGCTATGATGATAAAATGGGACTGTCTCTGTAAAGTAGCTATCAATGTACAGTGGATGACACAGAGTAAGTACTTAATAATGCTAACTATTAATAATATGGTTAAGACCCTTCTTACCATCGAAATGCCTCTGCCTAGGGCTATCCATTCATACCAGTTAAAAGTTGCATTGTGGCACTTGCTAACTACCTCTAAATGAAGGGCATGTGCATATTCAGAGAGAATCATAGATATACTCTTGTGGAGGGTGAGGGGAGTTTAGAAACAAGTGGCCATTGAAATCTCAGGAAAGATTGAAAATTGGCTTTTGTTGGGTAGTTTGCTGGGGTTGCCAGCTGAATGGGTATGAAGTCACTCTCTGACTACAAAAATTGTCAGACAGATTATAGAATTTAGCAAGTAAAAGTCAGTTTTCCTCCAAGCTTAAGTGGATATTTACTACTTGCAATAGAAAAGACGATTCAGGGGACCCAAATGTGGGATGCAGATGGACAGAGGTTTCAGTGGGCTCTGAAGCCTTTGCCTGTGGCTGCAGTATTTAAAAAAATTCTTACTGATGTGACTGCATCTGGTAACGCCAGCTATTCTGCTATTTCCGAGCACACCTGACCAAGTCAGTGGTAGTGTGTCTATTTTAAACGTTTGGGACCCATACCACTGTGCAAGATAAAATTTTCCCTTAGATATTCTCAATTCAATAAGTAGTTAAATGAAAAAAGTTGTTAAGGATAATAAGTATAATGAATGCAACAAAATATAACTACTTCCTGGGGAAAAGGGAATTCATTACAGATACAAAGACAGTGGTGACCTTAGGTGATAATCAGTCCCCAAGATACCAAGAGACTACTGAGGCTGGAGAGTCACACGCCGCCCCAGCTGGGAATGACTTTCTTTGCACAGTGCTCTCCTCAGTGTACCTTGGACCTCTGCGTTCCTCAGGCTGTAGATCAGGGGGTTCAGCATGGGGTTGAAAAAACTGTAAAACAGGAAAAGGACCTTCTGCTGCTCCTCAGGATGGCGGGACTTGGGGGCCATGTACATGACGATGGCGCTGCCAAAGAAGAGCCCGACCACGCAGAGGTGGGAGGAGCAGGTGGAGAAGGCCTTTCTGCGGCCCTCCCCGGCCTGGATGCTCAGGATGGTCACCAGGATGCGCGAGTAGGAGACCAGCACCAGGCAGAGGGGCCCCACCAGGATGAACACGCCAACTGTGAAGATGACGACTTGGTTGAGCCGGGTGTCAGCACAGGCCAGCTTGAGGACAGACAGGATTTCACAGAAGAAGTGGTTGATTTCATGAGGCCCACAGAAGGGCAGCCTCAAGATGAGAACCACATGGACCAGGGCCAGGAGGGACCCACATGTCCAAGAAGTGACGGCCAGGACAATGCACACTCTCCAGCTCATGATGACAGAATATCGGAGGGGATGGCAGATGGCCACATACCGGTCATAGGACATCACCACCAGGAGAAGACATTCTGTTTGTGCAAAACTCAGAAAGAGAAAGGTCTGCATTAAGCAGCCAGTGAAGGAGATGGGCTTGGCTGGGTCCAGGAGGTTCACCAGCATCCAGGGCACCGTACTGCAGGCACAGGCGATGTCCACGATGGCCAGGTGTGAGAGGAAGAAGTACATGGGGCTGTGCAGTCTGGAGTCCAGGGAGATGAGTCTCAGGATGACCCCGTTCCCCAGCAGGGTGAGGACGTAGAACAGGGAGAAGAGCCCGAAGAGAAGCATCTGAATCCTTCTGCCCACAAGGAATCCCAGTAGGATGAACTGTGTAACCATTGTTTGGTTTTCCCCCATTTCACTATGAAAAAAAGAAATGGATAGCTTAAGATAGGACTGTCAATAATGTCTAGACATTATTTCGTAATATTTTATGAATGTAGTCATTTTTAAAACCTAAATACAATTAATGATCTACTTAATTAACTACTAATTTTAGACATCCAATTTTATGGAAGAGCTTGTTTCACCAATGTTATGGTACATAGAACCTTTGACCCCTGTGTTGGGAAGAAAGAATATCAAACCAAAACAGGAAATAAAATGACCCTGTAATAAGCTGCCCATGTCAAAATGACTAAGAGAATTACTAAAGTGTAAAATTAATAATTGGTAATGAAAGAACTCCAAATATGAGAATTACAGTAGTTCCAGGAAAAAGTGTAATTTCAGTTTCTCAGTAGAAATATCAGCTGTGTTCCTTTCAACATCTGAAATCAACCTTTGCACTCTAGAGAAGTTTCCATGACAACAGGAGGAGCTAAGAGATTAAAAAGCAACTTTTATGACGATGTGATTATTCAGGTTCCTAAGAAGGAATCAATGCATGTGCTATTTATGGGCTGTAATTATTATCTTTATTTTACAATAAAACAATGATAACTTATTATTTGGCAAGTAATCTACTGATTGATTCATGGTTACTGACATACCAAAAAATTATCTTGAATAGTAACCCCTACAATTTGTAGGAATCGGATTTTTCGGGGCTGTCCACGGCATGTATTGTGAGTGTACTCTGTATACTTTGAGTGCAGGTTGTAATGAGGACGTAGTCAGGCATTCCTGCGTTGATCTCAAGGCTGTGTGTGTGTAGATGTGTGTGAAAACCTTCAAGTCGTACTTCTTCATGGATGATTTGTACTCATCCCTTCTGTGCTCCTATCAAAAGAGCAAATCCATGTCCTGACAGACGTAGGAAACACCATACCTGGATGCCCGCGTGTGGGAGGACCTACTCTTTGTGCCTTGCTTAGTGTTGTGTCATATGTGAAAATCAAAAACATAAGAAATGACTATTCATAAAAAATACTCTGCCTTTCTTCAGCAACGTAAGAATGACTATATACTTTACATATGGCCAATTAAAAGATTTGGGGAAAGAGTTACTTTAGTGGATTATACTCATTTTATACATTACTGTGACAATAAATTGATAGTCAGGTAATTGGTCTTTCTGTGAATCTGTGATGTGCCAAAAATATTCAGATTTCTGATAATGTCTTCCTCAATATACCATGTAGAAATCCCGCATTTTGCTAGCGCAAACATTTTTGTGAGTGACTTTGCTAGGCAAAAATATCCTGAGGGTAAATTACTGCTCTCGTGCCTGCTTCCCTCTGCAGAAAAAATCTTCTCCAGGACAAATGCAAGGAAAGGTGCTGCTTTTGATAAGAGCCTGGCCCAGCTGTGATTAATACCAGCGGAAACATCCCGGAGATGCTCCCCAAAGAACTTAAAAACAAGAGAACTGTTACTTCTTTTCAATAAGCCAAATTTGTGAGGTCACCCGTACTGGATGAGAAGAGCTGGAGGAGGAAAACAGGACGACGTGAGGAAACCTGTCCCTGGAGGGCCTCCCACAGCCCACTCGGTGCGCTTTGATGTCACCTGCCACAGGCGGGGAGGAGGAAGTGACTTTGTCAGTGAACCCGAATGTAACCTACCATGTGGGTGCGTGTCTAAAGAAAGGCTGTGGAATGAGTAAGGGAGGTGACAGGAGAGGCAGCGATGGCCAGCGCGTCCTCACTCTGTCCAGGGGAGTCTGGCCTGACGACACCAGGGTGTTGTCCTCCCGGCAGGTCTGCAGGTGCATCCAGGTGGCTCAAGTGACCAGTGACGGACAACCCTCGTCAATGAGATTTCCAGCGAACCCTCTGCCCTGACCTGCTGTTCACCTGTCAACCATTAGGTATTATTATGCCTGCGTGTGAGGATATTTTATCCATGAAGAAATGTGCTGATCAGCAAAGTTTTTTGGACTGTTTTTCAGTTACATTTTTAAATTGAATCAATTCTATTTAGTCTTATTCATTGTTCCCTTTCTAATTCGGATAGTATGATATAGTTGAGAAATGTGTGTACTGAAAAAATTTCCAAGGCTGGATGTACAAAGTGAGTGTCAGGCGCTGGGCTGAGACAAACTCATTGAAGTACAACCCAAAGAAAATTTTTCTGAGCATCTAATCAGAACCCTGAAGGATATTCCCATTCCATCCTTTTCTAGCAGCAAAAAATTATTGTTTACTTATAAGCATTATTAAGAAATTATTATATCAGCAAGACACAAATGAATCCCAGTGAATATTATAACACATGACCAAGGCTTATATATTCTTTCAGGATTCTACAAAAAATTACCACGCCAGGCCAACTTTCTGAATTTATTTTGTAAACACACAAAGCATGTGAAAATATTTGGTTGCGTAAATGAATTTGAATTTACATCTTATAAAAATCTTAATGTCTGTATTCAATGGTTCTTTATTTCCTTTTGTAACTCTCCAAATGATTACATAAAGGGGAAAACCCCACTATTTATAAACTTGAATGTCTTTAAAATCTAAATTAAAATACAAGAAGATAGGAGGGCTTATTGAGTACATTGAGATTCTTTAAGGACAGTTGCCATATGGTTTGAAAGTCTGATTTCTTTTACAGGACCGTATTCTTAACATACTCCTTGTGAACAAGAAATAACTGTACTCATTTTTGTAATGCTGACACTTACTAAATGTTGCATGAGCCAATGAATCAATAAATACAAATGAATGAATGCCTAAATACTGATTTTTTTTTTTTTTGGATCATCTTTGGAGTGTATCTGGAATTTCTGGCTTGCTTAACTCTTGCCTAGTATGATTTTATTCAATTAAGGACATTTCTCTTAAGGGAGGAAAAAAAAAAGAAAAGACTTTCTGAAGTTTGATAAAAATAACTGTAGAATCTCCAAAAATGTTTAAACATTTAATACCTGAAAGACATTTCTATTTTCTTTTTCCCTTCATATTTTATTTCACTCTGTGTGCCACTATGAACATCTTACTTAAACTCAAATGGATTAAATTTGTCAAAGGATTGGAACAAGTGAAATGAGAGGTTGAAAAACAGAAATTCAATATATCCCAGTTCCAGATGCAACATTCAGGCATTGTGTATGTTTCAAATGATATATTTTGTATATATTTACAAGTTTTTCATTTAAAATCTATTTGCTGACACTTTTCAGGGAAAAAGAAGAAAAATAAATAAAATACAATCTTAGCAAATTATTCGATGGCTAATAAATTATCCAACATCTCCATGTTTCAAAGTAAACACCTAAGACTGAAATCATTTCTTTACACATGCGCAAACCTGTCAGTACTACACGGGACCTGTGTTTCAAAAGGTAAAATTTAAGATCTGAGAAGCTGGCAAACTTTTCTAATGAGTCACGCAGCATTCCAAAAATGGAAGCTATTTTTAAATCCTCAGTTCAACTGAAGTATTAGATGGTTTACTTCCAGGTATTAAGAAATGTTTGTTACAACTAACGGAACAGACCCCTCCTCTGTCTGTCTGTCTGTGTGTCCTGCATGCCTGTTCCTGTGCCTTCCCATAGCATTGTCACTCACCTGGTGCATCTCTCCTTCTCTGGACCTCTTTCTGATACCCTCTCTCCGTCCCCAGTTTTCTTTCTCTCCTACAATTTCCCGTTCTGAGAATCTCTCTCTCCTACCTCCTCAACATACATCGTCACAGTGTTTCTAGAGATTTGTCAACAGTTCCAACATTTGAGTGGTTTCTTAGAGGATTTTGATTACACAGGAGGTCTGCATTCAGGCTAACGTCTTATAAGCTACCTTGGAAAATGTGATCTTATAATTTATCGTAGGAGTAATATCTGCCAACTCACTTATCTGGGGTATTGAAACGTTCTTTTTTGATTCCATAATAGACAATAAGGGCTATCTCATTATACTTCAAAATTAATTTCCTTAGGGATTGTGTTTCAACATACCCTTAGATTGAAGAAATCGTTTTGATCTAGTAAGTAAGAAAAATGATATTCTTAGACTCTCATGCCTTAAGTAAAAAAAAAAGAAAAATGATATATTTGACCATATATTGTTCCTGGAATGTGGTAGGTACTCAGTAACTATTTATTGCCAGAGTGGATATCAACTTGATTAAATATGAGAAAAAAAACATTAATGAGCTCTCCACATTCTGTTATGAGCCAGTTTCTCTGGGAAAGAAAAAGTGAAAGGCTCTATGAGGTAGCAATTAGTGAGTCTCAGCTTAGGAGTTGGACCCACATTTATTAGTTGTATAACCTTGAGTTTTTTCTTAACTTCTCTAAACCTCAGTTTCCTCTTTTTTAAAAGGAGAAAAATGAGAATACCTATTTTATGAGGTGGTTATGAGATTAATTGAGACAATATGTATTATACACTGAACACATTTGTGGTATTCAGTGAACACTCAATAACTGGGATCAATCATTATCGACCTGACAAGTTACGATTCACAGTAGTCCCTGAAAACCATTCACTTCATTTCCCGTTATCCTCTGAAAGCCAATTTTGTAGTCTTGATTATAATAGTGTAAACCAACAGGGTGATTTCCTGGATAACCTATTCTTTATTCTTTCATCTAGCATCAATGCTCATAGGTTTGTTGCTTTTATGCAATTACCTCTCCACTATATATACACAATTAACAATAATTCTATACATACTTACATTATTTGTGAGCAATATGTTCAAAGAAGTTAGCATTAAGTTTCCCTCAAACTATTCCCATGGTAGAATAATAATCAGCACATGTACAGAGAGGAGTGAATTTCCTTACCAATGCTTGCAGGATGTGAGTGACTGTTGACCAAAGACTAGGTGCTACAACACGCCTAAGAGGAATTTATAGTAATGTGAAATAAGGCAACCTGGATAGAACCCACATTTGGACTCAAGGATCTCCAAAGGGGAAGCACCTGAAGGTTGGGACACGGGTCCTGATTTCTGGAAGTTTCCATGGGAGCTGCAAAACACTCGCCTCTGTTCCTGATTGAATTGTAGCAGAGTCCTCA